TTCCTAGTGCCATAACTCGTTTAACTAAGGGTAATTCGCATAGAGACATGAAATTGATTAGTTAAATAGGCTCAATGAGAACTCAAGATGAGTAAATTAATACCAAATGAGAATTCGACCGAACACTACATTAGACTACAATCTTGAATTGGGAATTAAGGTGATCATTAGATGAAGTTGTTTTGCCATAATATATCTTACATACATGAATATTTGATTCATTTGTATTTGTTATTTTATCATAATTTTTATTTGTTTTAGAAATTTAGTTCATTTTAGAAAATCAATATTCACAACTATCACAATCCTTTATTTGTTTGTCTTTTATCCAATAAGAGTTAGGAAAAGTAGATTAAGACTAAAGTATAGTTCTCGCGGGAACGATACTCCGGACTCAANATTCGATGAAATTGTTTTGCCCTAAAATATCATACATACATGAATCTTTGATCCATTTTGTGTTTGTTATTTCATCATAATTTTCATTTGTTTTAGGCATTTATTTCATTTTAGAAAATCAATATTCACAACTATCACAATCTTTTATTTGTTTGTCTTTTATCAAATAGGAGTTAGGAAAAGTAGGTTAAGACTAAAGTATAGTTCTCGTGGGAACGATGATCCGGACTCAAAGGTACACTATATTACTTGTTACGATATCGTGCACTTGCGATATAAAAAATGCAACACTTTTCCTAGAAAGAGATATAGATGTTAATAAGGGTAGGCTAACAACTCTCTTTGTAAAGAAAAACGGATAGGCTAATTGAGTAGGAGAAGGTAGTTTATGAGTGAAGTTAGAGTCATCAGTATGGTTTTGATTTTTGTAAAGAAAAACATTTTCATAAAATATCACATTCCTTGATATAAAAATTTTCTTAGTTTCTAAATTAAGTAGCTTATATCCTTTGGTTCCAATAGGATATCCTAAAAAGACACATCTCCTCCCCCTTAGATCAAATTTATGCCTGTTGTGTGTGAGTGTGGTGGCAAACGCCAAGCAGCCAAAAATTCTGAGATTGGAATATGTATGTTTAGTTTTAAAAAGCACCTCAAAAGGAGTTTTGTTGTTTAAAACAGGTGTGGGTAACCTGTTAATCAGAAAAACAACAGTCAAGACAAAGTCATTCCAATGCTTCATAGGCAAACCACTTTGAAATTTTAGAGCTCTTGCAACATTCAATATGTGTTGATGCTTCCTTTCTACAACAGGCATTTTGTTGGGGAGTTTCAACACATGTTGTTTGATGTATTATTCCATTTTTAGAGTAGAATTGCTTCAAGTTAAATTCACCTATGTTATCAGACCTAATGATTTTGATTTTGATTTTGGAACAAAATCAAGTCTCAATCATAGTGTAAAAATTTTGTAAGGCAATGGAGGTATCAGATTTCAATTTCAATAAATAAACCCAAGTGCAACGGCTGTGGTCATCAATAATAGTAAGAAATACTTTGATCCTTCATAGGAAATGTTAGTACAAGGTCCCCATAGGTTGCAGTGGACTAAATCAAAACAATTTTCTGACCTGTTATAACTAGTGTTGAATGACAGCCTATGAAGTTTAGCTAAGGGGCAGATGGAGCAAGGTTTCTTGGTGTATTTGGAACTGGAAGTCTGATGCAAATTGGTCAAGTGCAGCCTGGGATTTGAGGGATAACCTAATCTAAAATGCCAGAGGTCATAGTTATCTTGATTTGTAGTGATAGTCATGACTGTTTGGTTGGCAGACTCTGGTGAATCCTGAATCAAGCTAGCAGGAGAGAGTGCTTCTTCTTGTCATCATTGCCATTCCATCAGTGATACCTACATCAGCAGACATGCCCCTCCTCTTTTCTTCCTGTTGCATAATGGAGTACACAGTTAGTTCATTATCTGTGAAATGCTGCATCAATGATTCTAAACCAGGTCCTATGAAAAAAATCATCCAATGAGCCAGACTCTCTGTTGGAACTCTTAATCATCAGCTGACTCACCATCAACAAATCAGTTGCACCAGATTTCTGTTGGCTCCCTTTCTCACCAGTTGATGCAGGACCACCTGTCGTGATTTATGGTGTACCATTGATTCTTTATATCCACCCGTACAGCTCAGATTGTAGGCCTAGAACATTCCCTTTACTTGTATAAATATGAGTTGATTCTTACTTGTAAAATAAACTGAAATTAATTCTTGAGTGATTGAAATATAAATTCTATTTCCAAATACTTTAACTTGGTATCAGAGCATTAAAAATGGCCAACGCTAGCAATCCTGAAATCAACAGCTCACAATCTCAATCAGCTGCAATGTCGAACACAATGGCACCTCCAATGTTGGGAGGAAACTACCTCACACCTTTCGGCATGAATCTCACCCAAACTCCCTCTGTCAAACTTGACAGAGACAACTTTTTCCTTTGGAAAAATATGACATTACCCATTATTCGAGGTCACAACCTAGAAGGATATCTGCTGGGAACCAAGGTGTGTCCGCCAGAGTTCATAAGCACTCAAGTTGCTGGAGAATCAGGGATGAGTATAGAAATGACATCTAATCCGGAATTCAACCAATGGAAATCTGTTGATCAACTACTCATGGGATGTTTTTATGCCACAATGACTCCTGAAATTGCACTAATGGTAATGGGATCTGCAAGTTCATTTCAACTATAGATTGCCATCAATGAGTGCTATGGTATTCAAAACAGATCCAGAATTACGTTTTTGGTTGGGGAGCTTCAGAAAACCAGGAAAGATAACTTAAGTATTGACCAATACTTAAATAAGGTGAAACTTCTTGCTAGTAATCTAGAAGTTGCTGGAAAACCTGTACCACCTACTGATCTGTTGACTCAAATCTTGGCTGGCTTGGATGAAGAATACATGTCTATTGTTGTG